GATTCCCGGGAAGGAAGATCGCAGACCTGGCTGTGTGCGCAACTCGATCAGGCCCGGCTTCTGTCAGGACACCCGTGGCAACGAGCATGCGGGCGATCCTTCCTAAAGAGGTCAACAAGGAACGGACGATTGGTTTAGACGGTGTCACCTACTGAGAAGGGGAACATCGACCTCAACATGCTCGCCGAGCTCCATATAGGATATAGGTTGTTCAAGTGGGATGTGTTGAAAGACGTGCCACTCATCGAAGAGCTCGATGGCGGCCGTCTCATTGCTCTGGATACTGTGCGATAGCCACTGTTCCTGGGGCTGTGCAACGAGATTGCCGATGTCTCTCGTCAGTTTGAGAATACTGGACTGAAGAGAAGTCTCTTGCGCTAGGTTCATCTTGCCACGGAGCGTATACTCTGTGATTGCCCCGAGTAGGTTCGTTCCCAGCTGCCGAAGGGCGTGGCAATCCTCGACGGATCTATGGGTGCTCATTCTTGCGTGCCAGAGGTGGTCCGGCGTGAAGGAAAGCGAGGAATGCAGCGACCAAGGTTATAGGTTCAGGGACTTGATAGGATGGTTGAACTCAACATGCGCTGTATTGCATATTCGCTCATCATGAGGCAAAAAGGTGATTGATGAGGACGGTTTAAATACACAAGAAGGCTTGTTGAAATGTTGCGGACAACATGAACTGTAGATCAATGGAACGCGGCATCGGTCCGAATTTCTTCACGTGGAGCCGAAATCTGCTACACACGTATCCGTCTAGGCAGACAGGAATCCGCTCGACACATCATTAATCTGACCTTCTGTGCTACGTCGCCTGTCGGCATGTTTCTGCTGTTTGGGATCCCGGAAAGGCTCTTCTACCAGTTGTCGGCGGCACTACGCTGTAGCAAGTTTGTCCTCCTGGTGATCATTTTCTCGCTTGCTGAATCCCTGTTCCTCAACCTTCGCGAGCCGGATGAGTCGTGCCCCTGCGGAGCGTTCTCTACGGGCATTCCATTCTTGCTCGCCGCCAGTTCCTTTCTCTCTCGTCAACGAGGGACTTCTTTTTTCTTTTTCTTTTTCTTTGCAGATCTCCGTGGGCCGTGACATTCAACACACACTCAACACGTTGCCATGCAGTTCCTAGAGAGTAGTCGAACTTTGTTCTAGACATCTGCAAATTTGGCTCTTGACGACTTGCATAACAGCTGTGTGGTCGAATGGTTCATAATGCAAAAAGACAATCCCGTTCCGAAAAATGCGTCTACACGACATGGAGCTTTCTAGTAATGTATGCATGTACCGTACAGTATACTATACATACTACAGTACAGTATCAAGTCAATCTCCAGACCAGCCATTCTAATCCTACACTACTGTACGAGTGAAGATGACGGCACCTTACGGCCCAAAACCTTCTTGAACCCAAACCACGGGTGCGTTATGCCTGAAATCATTTCCGCTTCTAGGTCGGCAACGTAGTTTTCGATGCGTTCAATACTCCACCCAATCGACGTACACGGGCGCAGAAGAAACCCTGAGGCGTCCTTTTTCATCGCTGACTGGGCGCAGCGTCCTAGCCATCTGTGCTCTGGATCTCTTGGCCATTTTCCAATCGGTATCTGAGATCAAACGTTAAACTTCTCTCCAAGCACTGATGGCAGTGATGCAATTCGTACCTTATAGTCAAGCTCTCGGATGTCACTGAAGTGTGCCTCTTCCAGAGCCTGTCTTTGTATGCCCTCTTGTACCACAGAGAACGTCTGTCCAATACAGTATGTGCCTCGTATTCCTCGAAGACTCCGTGCCACTGATTCCAGGCACTTGTCTGGCCCACCGTGTCGTCGTCGCTCTCGATGAGAAATGATGGCTCCGAACTTTCCAGAATCCCATCTTCTTTCAGGCAGCGATAGGCTTCCCCCGCTAGGAATTTCCAATCACGAACGGATCCAGTCAGAAACCGCATGTTGATATAGTCGAGCGAATTGTCTTTGAATGTCCATGGTTCGTTGAAGTCATCAATCTGGCTGGGAGAAGAGTCAGCATTGCTATGCAAGGAGGAGCCCTCGCAAATTTCAACTGCCGATGACATAGAGCAGGCTAGACTGACAACTCCACGTTCGGCGGGACATGTTGGGGCTGAATCGGTGATAGGTCGATTCCAACCACGAGGGCGTGTGGATGAGTTTCGCCAACTTCGCTGAGGCACGAACGTCAGCATTACTTCCTCAACGCTTTTGGTAGACGGCCATACATAGCCCACGCGCCTGTCCCAGTCTCAACATCTAAGATTTTCTGTGAAGTAATGAGCACACTTGCCGAGCGGCTTGATCCGGAGCAACGATACCTGAGCGTTCTCTGGAAGCTCGGCAAGGAAGAGCTTTCCATTAGAAGCCTCGCAAAACAGGGAGTGGCTGACGAAAAGTAGTTAGCCATTATGCTGCTCCGAGTTACACATTTTGACTGTCCTGACCAAAGACCCATCGCCTCACTCTGCAGTTCGTCATTTGGGGCCCTGAACAAAATCGTTAGTTTTCAGTCACTTGGGTCGCCCGGCTACGCGTACCAGTAAGTAGAACGGAACCTTCCACTGTGATAAGTTCTGTCATCTAGATGTTGGTAGTTGAGAACGTCGTCAGTCATCGACTTAGTCGAGCATTGGTCGTCATCAAAGCCTGGATCGGATCCGTGGTCTTGCCGGTCAGTCTGAATGGGCTTGCCGTTAGTGTTTTCATAGGAGTGACTGGAAAGAGAGATCTCACCTCGGGCGGAGTTGCCGATTCCATTCCTTGTGCAATGGAGGTCGCAGACAAGAGACCTGGTTGCCATCCATCTGGCCCATCCACGGCCATTGAGAATAAGGACCTCGACCCCGAGGATACCTCTGTCATCTTGGAAGAAGTCAAGATATGGTAGCGATCCTGCGGAACAGCACCGGATCATGTCTGTTAGGGGATTCACTCTACTTATATGCTTAGGATCCGGTGGGGTCAGGGATGCTTGAATGGCCGGTCTGGCTAGGTCAGGGAGGGTGGAGTCTTGGTATCACCACAACGCCAACAACTATGTGTACACATGAAGCTCGCTAAAGAAGAAAATTAAAGGGCGATCAGCGCCGTCGAATCAGGAGACACTTCGGAAATTGTAAAATTGCATGGATGCCACAAGGACTCTGGACCAACCGAGGCTGCCGCTTGTGAGATGCTGAGTAACAACAAAAACGTAAGGGCAAGGGAATTTATGACGAGTAGACGGAGGTGGCGTGAGTCCAGCTTGATCTATTGGATGCCTGGACCAAGCGAGTCAACGGCCGCAGAAGCTTTAGTGTGAGATAAAAAAAATCCGTGACATATCACCGCGGATCTGGAGGAGAAAGCAACAACGGGAATAAGCGTGACAGCATAGTCGTATCTACCTCTCTGTTTTCGCCATATGAAGACAGGCGAAGGAAACCAGGTGCCTTCCAAGCCAGCTACGGCAGATCCATCAGAGAGCCCTGTATGAGTAGAAGAGCCATGTCTTCCACATTGGGTGTCTATCAAGCCCTCTCCACAAGACGAAAATCCTATCACAGGTTCTTCAGAGCGCGGCTTTCATCGTATTCCCTCCCTCGTCCAATCACCCAATGACGGCGCTACCTTAGGCTACGACACAGATTGTTCGAAACGTTCGCCGTCTGCGTCGTCGAACCCACGATCAATTTCATGAAGACTGCTTCGCTGGTGGTCTTGTCTTCGCATCCAGCAACGCGGCGTGCACTGTGCATATCATCGCGAATTGCAGTGTGGTCGACATTATGCTTCGCAGTGACCATAAGCTCAATGAAACCCACATACCACGCATCAAATGATGTGTGTATTTTAGGCTTCCATTTCGGTAAACTCTAGTATTTGGAGGAGCGTCTGCGCGACTGAGACTGGTCGAGGAAATGCCTAGTCTGTGGAGAAATGTCGCAACAGCAGCCACGTGCCAATGATTTGCGACGAGACCGAAGGTAATTATCACAACGTACACGGCGTGGAAGCGGATGAGATTTTGCTTGGTGCGCTGTTGAAATTCTTTGAGACTGGTGGGAAGGTTAAGACAGGCTGGGTCAATCAAATCAAACAGAGGACCACTTGCTGAATTCCCAATCGCGCGACCGATGTAAGGCCAGTAGGTGTTTTTCAACGCAGAGAGAGCGAACTGAAGGGCCTCAACAGACATGATTTCAGACTTGCAGACTTGGAGGGAAGGTTGGAAAATCCAAGTTTCCAATCCTACGAGGAGATCCTACAGTCTTAAATGTTGTCCAGCTGCTGCCCGAAGCATCTGCACCCTTTCAGCCTCGCAGCAACTAATGTCTCTGTCACTTGAGCTTGCATTGGGTAGCTGTGGGAAGCTGCAATGGCCAATAGTTTGTGGTAATGCAAGTCGTCTCACAAACTCGCCCTGCTCAATATCACGGACGGCGAGTGTAACATGAGCCGAGGTGCCCATGAACACTGCCGTTTCATGACGCAGGAGAGACGCGAAGTCGAAACCAGTCTCGACGTACGCGGTAGCAAATGGCAACGGGGGTATTGCGTGAGTGTTGAACTTAGTGTTGTGTCCTTATTGGGTGGCTGCAAAAAGAAGTGATCTGTCATGGCAGGTTTGCGCTTTGCTGATCAGTTGATACCGGCTCTCCCCACTGCATGTCACTGGTGGCTTAGTATGACTATTCAAGATACTGTAAAGACGGTCCGAGATGATAGAAAACCCCTTGGTACATTCGACGGAAATCGCTTTCGAGTGATCAAGAAATTGCGGTAATGAGGGCGTCTGCACAACAGTCCCACCTAGTGAGTGCATGGGGGCTTAGGAAGCGGAGCTACAAATGAATCTCACAGGCTTTTGGCGATGCGACCATGTCTTCTTCTTGCGACCAGACCAAAGAAAGGCGGGTACAAAGGCAAGGCGAGGGAAGGTAGAAAAGAGGTCGACTTACTTAAAAAAAAGAAAACCTCACGAGATCTCTGTTTTGATCAGTCTACAAACCTACCAGCACGCTTCCATAACCTTCAACCCTCATTGCTTCGGACAGCGGCAATCTCTCTCGAAGCCGTGCTCTTTCCCACACCGCCATGGCCGACCACGACACCGGAGGGGAGCCTACAGGAACGCTTGCTCCCGATGTCGTCATTGTGGGCGCCGGCTTCAGCGGCTGTTACGCTCTCTATAAGTTGAGACAGCTCGGGTATTCCGCCAAAATCCTCGAGGCCGGAAGTGACTTCGGCGGCGTCTGGCACTACAGCAGATATCCCGGAGCCCGGGTTGACTCGGACACGCCGTCATATCAGTTCAGCTTACCAAAGGTGTGGGAAAACTTCAATTTCAAAGAGAGATTTCCCGGGCACGAGGAGATTCGACGATACTTCTCTCACGTTGACGCCACCCTCGATCTGCGAGTGGATACCATCTTCGATGCCCGAGTTGACAACGTGAAGTACAACGCGAGCAGCGCGCGATGGAACTTCCATACGGAACGAGGTCTTCGCATCTCGTCAAGATTCGCCATCTTCGCCTGCGGAAGTTTCAGCAAGCCTTATCTCCCTTCTTTGCCGAACCTGGAGACCTTTCGTGGGGATATCATCCATCCATCCGCTTGGCCTGAACGCCTTCAGCTGAAGGGCAAAAACATCGGTATCATAGGCCAAGGCGCATCCGGTCTACAATTGGTTCAGGAACTCGCAAAAGAGGACTGCCAGTTGACTGTCTTCGTACGGAACCCCTGCCTCACAATTCCCATGCGCCAGAGAAGCCTCCCGTACCGAGAGTCGGAGGAGTTAAAGAACTACTACGACGGCATATTCTATAAGGCAAAGTTCGGCTCATCATCAGCCATTGCCTACAATCAAAACACGGACTACTTTCATGGCACGAGCGATGAAGACAGCCTTGCTCTCTTCGAGCGCCTCTGGAACAGGGGAGGTTTCGGTCTGACGTTGTCGAACTATCGCGATGTCATGTTCGACAAAGCGGCCAACTCGAGCGTCTACGACTTTTGGGCTCGAAAGACCAGGGCTCGGATGACCGATCCAGAGAAAAGGGATA